GTTATCCCACTATAGCTGACCCAAGAGCACAGTAATTGTTGTTTCCTCTTAATATACTGTGCATAATATGTGAAGGGTAAACACGGTGAATTTTTTTTTAACCAGATCATGTGAGTGGCAACCCTGTATACCCAGTATTCCTGAATTACCCTGTGGCAAAATTGATATTTGAATTATGCAGTTAGATAATCACTTTTTGACATACGCCAAAAGTATCGTAAATCGATGTAATATTTTGATTGTATTTTTGGAACCTTGTGTATTTTGATTGTATATTCAAAGTATTTAATTTTTAAGACATTAATATTTCGATTGTATGAGGCGATGTAATATTTCGATTGTATTTTCGGCAGCTATTGATATTGATTTTTGAATATCCCGATATATTTCAAACAATATGGAAAATTCGAATTGTGCATTTGAGTATTTAATTTTTAAGGCAATAATTCTATCGAATTTTTGGCAGTTATATTCTTTATATTTTTTGAATCTGATATTTCTTATACGATATTATTTATAACAACAGCCCAATCAAGAAAGGAAACACATACTCAAGGTCTCCGATGCGTGTGATTTCGCCGTCAATCTTTTTTTACGGCAAGTACTACTGCTGCGGATTTCCTGATTTTTAGTTATTTTTTTTATTGCGATAATTATTTACAAAATGCCGAGAATATTATCTGTGCATTCCCCCCTTTCGACAAAATGTGAAAATATTACCTATAATATTAGAATAAAAATTACATGTTCAATTAAGAAAAAAATATATATAGTATTTTTTTTTGTAAAACCAGCGTTTTTGTTATTTTAAATTAGTAGCATATATGTTTGTTATTAAAAATATATTGTAGAAAGATATTAGCACTAGAGGGGTATGTCGCAGATTGCTAAAATAAATTCTGCCCCAGGCCTGAATACATTATGTATATTTACTGATTGCTATGTACAGAGGGGCTTACTGTTATGATCTATCCGCTATAATTACTCACTGATTAAGATTTGCTGATTAAGTACTGTCTTGTGGTTGAGTAATAAAAATTAAATTTCCTTTTACTATTTTTGTTATAAACTATTTAAAATAAGTTTATTTTGTTTTATTTATTTTATTAATTAATTAATTTATTTTTTTGGAAATCTGCTGTCAGAAAGACAAATGTTATTATTTAAAAGTCCAAAACAAAAACTAATGGAGAGCTGAACTTACTGTGAACTTCATACATCTGGTCAAATTTCAGTAATTACTAATTGACTGGACTGTATCATTTATTTATGTGGGTTATTCTACCAAAATATAAATATTTGTATTAATTGAAATATTTGCTTTGTTTTGAATCAATGAAAAAACTCTTGTTCACATTTTTACACCCTATATTCAATTATGCTGAAAAAAATTTTTAGGCTTTAAAAAAAATTATTAGTGAAACATCCACTCACATACATTTCTCTTATATCGCAGAGAATAAATACTTAAAACAAAAATTGATTTTCGTTTGAATTCCTCTGACTAAAATGGAAATAACACATTAATAATATAAAATTTGAAATGAAATAATATTTTTAAGTGAAATGTTATTATCCTGTCAGCACCAAGGTTATTGATAAAGATTAGCATGCCGAGAAAATAGTTGTTCATCTAAGACAGACTAAATTTTTTTCAGTTATTTAACCTCTTTGCGACGGGCGAATCATCTATGTGCAGGGATGAGATTCTTCCGCGGATTCGCGGATTTCCGCTTTTTTTCAGATTTTTCCATTTTTCCCGCTAATTTCCGCTGAAATTTTTTTTGCCCAAGTTAAAATGTTTTATGAGGAATTTAATTTTCCGCGGAGGGAAATTGTTGAAGTCCCTTTTCCTCCCTCTGAAGTTTCTCTAAAAATCATTTCCTTGGGATAAAACTGGTTGACCTTTATACAGGGATGAGATTTTTTTTGTCTCTCGAATTTCAGCCTTTTTATCAAAAACTCCGATTCTCTAAAAGTTTCGTTTTTTTTAAATAAATATCCCGTTTTTTTTTAATTCAGTCATTGAAGTAAAATAATTATATTTATTTA